AATACAACAATAAGTTCAGAAGATAAAAATTCACAAGGCAAAGGTCTAATTTCCATAAGATGTGGAGTGTGCACAAATCAAAAAGAAAAATATGGAAAGCCCTACAAGAAAATGGGCAAAATATATCAATGGGAAGATGAGAAGGAAGAAAATTCAAAGATTCTATCTCATTCACATGCAATACAATTTTAAAGCAATCAAACTGGCATTTAGAATGTTTATTTAAATAAATATGTATGGAACTATTTATTCATATATTTTGATGTGCAAATATGGCTAACTCTATTTGGCAAAACAATTTGGCTGATCTCCCCTGTAGTTTTATGCTTAGGAGTTTATTCTGTGTATACTTACTGTAGAACTATTTACCGTAATAAAACAGAAATAAACACTTATCAATAAGCTGACTCTAAAATAATCTGAAATTATTGTAAGTAGTATGGATAATATAGTAATTCTGTTTAAGTACAAACAGGAAAATATCTAGAAGTATTTTCTTAAAGTTAAAAGCTTATTTTACAAACATGCAACTGTTTGCTTAGTATAATCACATTTACTTTTCATCAGTTAGCTATTTATGTACTTATAAAATACCCCACAGGACATAAGTGAACAAATAGTATTTGCAGTGAGACTTGAGGTAGGGAGAGACAGCAGAATATGACTCTTTCATGTCATGTTTTAAAATTTTCCTATTTATTTATTATTTATTTTTATTTCCTAGTTATTTATTTATTTTTGTGTTGGTCCCGGGGCTTGAACTTAGAGCCTGAGCATTGTCTCCAAGCTTTTTTGCTCAAGGCTGGCACTCTAATGCTTGAGCCACAGCTCCACTTCCAGCTTTTTGATGGTTAATGGGGTGGCTTTGAATGGTGATCCTCAGATCTCGGCTTCCTGAGTAGCTAAGATTACAGGCGTGAATCACCAGCTCCTGGCTCTTACATTTATTTTGGACAATGAACAGAAAATGGCTTTTGGAAGAGAGAGAATGAGAATGAGAATAGGACATTTGTGCCTTCCTTCCTCCTTCACATATGTGTGCATCATTTTTTGAACATTTCTTATGTTCATACAAAATGATAGTGTACGACACAACATAGGTAAAAATGCCACTTTACTGGAACAAATTAGTAAACTGGTCATTTCACATAGTTACCCACCTCCCCCATGTAGCCATAAAGTACTCGTTAGCAAAAATCCTGACTGTACCACACTATTGTTTACTAGAGTATTTGTGGTTTATGTTATACACTCGTTTTTTAAGTTTTGTCTTTCACCCGTCTCTTACTGCTTCCTTCCCTACCCAGACACTTAATATTATTGACCTGTGGGTAAAGAAACCAGCTGTGTTCACACACCTGTTTCCCTCCCTACCTCAGTCATTGAGCAGTTTTTACCCCTAAGACAAAATAAGTCAACACATAGAAAATGTTTTCAGATTTGACATTAAAAGAATATGTACACAATTACGAGCCCAGAGTAACCGATTCTGTGCTTAGATTTGATAGTGGCCTGAATCAGAAATCAATTCATCAGTCCTCTGGAAAAAAATAACCAAGCAGCTGATGAATAACCAAAGAATTTAAATTTATTCTTCATCCTTAACACCAATGTCATGTTATTATTAATGAGGAGACTGAAAGTGCCCTGGGTGTGTGTTTCTACCAGGAGAACAATCTAGCAGGCCTACAACTGTCTAGCTTTCTTTTTATCATGCTTCTGGGCACCCCAAATTCCATCTGCCTTCTCCCCATTATAGCATGACTCATTCGATGTTGTCCATATGTTCATGGTAAAAAGTATCTATAATATACTCTTCACCCTATCATACTTCATTAAAGATTTTTAGTAGCACGTATTAGTTACACAAGGGAGTTTCATGGTAGTATTTCCCCAGTCAACTGAACCCCTCCATCTCTATCCTACTATCCTACTACCTACCTTACTATCTCGTTAAGATGTTTCACATTCAGGCAAAGCATGTCACATTTCTTCTGCTCTTCAAAACATGGTAAAACCGAGAACTCAAACTATCTGTCATTTAGCATGAAGAGTGATTACTTGGTTACAGAATTCCCCTTGACATCATTTCTTTTAGGCTCTTTTGTTAAAATGATTGGCTTGTGCACCTACAAAGACTGTACTTGAAGAACCTTGTCTTATAAATCTGAAAACAACACTTAGGGTTTGTTGATGGCTACTCTAAGTGATTTACCAAAAATTAGCTGATTTAATTCCTACAAGCCTGAAGCATGTGCCAGTATTTTTCCCAGTGACCAGTAAGAAAACTGAGGACAGCAATAGGACCCTGGTCAAACTGCTACTAAGTGGCAGATCCATGGAATCTGTATGTATCTGAAGCCAGGCCTATATTCCGTGCTCTGTACCTTCTCTGTATTCAAAGGGCTTCCTTATAGAGCAGTAAAGTGTTAAATGTCTTCTAATGATACAAAATACACTAAGAATTCACATAAAAGAAATTCTGAGTGGAATATTCATAGGAATTACCTAGCAAAGGGATTTCAAGTCAATTTGACAGGCAGAATGGGGCCAGTGGATTGTTAGCCGCACAGGTAAAAGCTTTCAGACGTCATAAATTTAATACTTTGCGTGTAATCTAAACTTCTTTGAATTTCGCTAATTTTTTCCTTTAGCTTCTGTTGGCATAGCAAAACTTCAGCCCCTATCATGCATAAGGAGCACACATGCACTAGAGTTCATTTGTCAGGAAACGGAACAGCAAAATAACAAGGGAAAATATATGGCTCATTGCTTCCTTTTTATGGTCAGATTGATATGCAGGAAGATATTATCTCAAAATACAGAATCATAAGTAGTACAATGTGTGTGATAGATGTGTATAGATCATCTAGCTTCATTAAGTGACAGACCCAAGAAGCCTGTGTGTGTAATCTATACCACTCGGGTCTATGTCATCTCTATACTCAAAGAGCTGCATGGTAAAGTAGGTGGATTTTATTTATATCATCTCATTCTGTAACTTTTACATGCAAATGGGGAAAGCTACTTCAAAAAAAGCTGATGCTCCCCCTACACACACACCCAGACCATTTTCTCTACTGGGTCTTGAAGAGTAATTATGGAAATATTAAGACAGCTAGGGACACAATTAATACATATCTATTATCTAGGATTCCATTTTTAATTATGCCACTAATTTTTACCCTGCTTGATTGTCACTGAAATGTTATTTAAAATTTTGATCATTTGATTTTGATAACCAGGGAAGAATAAACTGAAAATACTAGCATGCTATTTCCTCTGCAGAAAAATTGTAGCTGCACCTATTTTTTAACTTGATTCTATGTTCCATGCTTGGGCTAAATTTCTGGGAAAGTTTGTGTGGTGGTTTCTTTTAAAGCCTTGCTTATAGTACTTAGCAAATGGCCTAATTACCATACATAGTGGTAGACCAGTCAAGGGACTGTGTATGCACAAACTTAATTTGTATTCTCAGAGGCATACTAATTAGGAACTTTCTGGGAAATGTACAGTAATTACTCTTGGTGTGTTATTTATGAACTCTGAAGAACCAACTTATATCCTCTGCTCCATGAGATACTGTTATGTGGTTCCCCCATAAAAGAAGCCAGCCCTGAGAAATGCCCAAATGATGTTCCTTAAAGACTGAACACCATACCTCTCACCCTAGCCCAACTCCTACCTCCCAACAATGGCCACAAGTAGAGGCTAGTCTTGTTTTGTTTTGTTTTTGGGTCCAGTCGTGGGGCCTGAACTCTGGGCCTGGGCACTGTCTCTCAGCTCTTCAGCTCAAGGCTAGCGCTCTACCACTTGAGCCACAGCACCACTTCCGGCTTTTTTTTTTTTTGCTTATGTGGTGCTGAAGAATTGAACCCAGGGCCTCATGCATGCAAGGCAAGCACTCTACCACTGAGCCACCTTCCCAGCCCGAGGCTAGTCTAGAAGTCTCGGCTGATCCTATGAAGGAAGAATCTGAGGTCATCCTTGAAGACTGTATCTAGAGAATGAAGTGAAGACAGAAGCAGAATGTCCTGAGTGTCTAGGGATTCTCCCTCAAGGGATTTGAAATAGGAATGTTGTCTGGGACCTTTAGCCAAAAGATAGCTTGACTAGCAAATTAGAAACCTAGAACATAGTATTTCACTGAATTTTTCTTCCACTTCAGGGTAGAGTAGCCAAATTAGAAAAGGAGGAAAAAAGAATTTATACACAATCAATGTATCTGTCTGTTTAAGTAGCTAGCTATCTCATTATCTAATCCTTCCATTCACCATCTTCCATTCATCCATGCTTCTATCCATCCATCCATCCATCCATCCATCCATCCATCCATCCATCCATCCATCCATCCATCCATCCGTCTACCTACCTACCTATCCACCAATTCAAGTCTAACTATATATCTTGACCAGTAGTGAACAGAATATAGAGAATTTATCCAGTAAATGACATTGTTCATGTTTCATGAAACCTTGGCATTTCTTTGACTTCTTCTTTAAAGGAAAAAAATCAAGATTAGCCTCTGAAAGGTTAGTTTTCTAGGTCATATGAAGTTCATCACTTGAGAATATTTCTCCAGAATTCATAGAAATGGTTTTTAAGAGGAAAGTGGGATGGAATCCAGTTCCTGTTCTGTCCTGTTCTAGAAAACATAGGACTCAAATTTTCAAAAACTGCAACTTAGGATTCCTTGGGATAGTTAAGTGGTAAGCATTGGTACAGGCATGGAACCTGAATTCATTTCAACCCTTTGGCCATCTGTAGTCATTCTAGGCTAAAAGAGTATAGTGAAGAGTTCTTCATTCAGCAGAAGGAATGTTGATTTTTAATAAGATGTTTATATATAGACTTAAGACGTTTGATCTTTTGCATAGATCTGAATCTGACTAGGTTGCAGTCACACATAAAATTTATAAAGATTGAGTAGCCCATCTGATATAATAAATACGTGTCCATCCATTGGGTTGTAGAAATTCAAAGATTTTATTTTTTGACAGGATGCCTGCCGTTTTTCTCTCTTGACTCCCGCTTGTTTTATTCATTTTGGGGTAGTTGCCAATTAGACACAATTGGTAAGTATAATTAATGGACAACTTAAATTTCCTCTTAAGCCACTGCCAAGAATATTAACCATAAAAGCCTTCATTTCCTCTTGCAAATTCCTAACACCACTATTCCCCTGTGATCGCTGTTCATCTCTGTCTTTTCTGAGACACCCAACCACCTCAGACATTAATGACTCATTATTACTTGCCATTCGAAAGATTCCATATCGGACAGCTTGACAACACTACTAGACTACGACTAGGAGGAAATAACTATTCATTCACATCCAGGCATTATGCAAGATACCCAGTCTCTTTTGATATACCCCAAGGTGCCTCAAGGTAGAAATCATCTCTTTTTCTCTAGTTGGTAAAGGGACAGCTCAAGAGGTTATGTCCCTGTCTTAAGACTCCAACTACAGAGAAAGATAGATGCTAATCTGGGCTGATGCGATTCAGATACTCTTAATCCTCTCATCCATTCATAGAAATGTTATCTCATTATTTCGATTATCTAGTTTGGGTGTCAGCATTTTTTTCAACAATTATGTGACTGCCAGCTCTCTATCAGATTAGGGTTAAGTACTGGTTTATTTGAATGTATCATCAAGAAAGACTTTGGGTAGAGGATGGTGGATAGAAGAAAGATGATGATGAAGTAATGTGAGGAGGAAATTCAGGAGGTGATGGAGTTGGGGTGGGGGTAGAATGGAAACAAACAGAGGAGCTCCTGATCGTGTATCCATGGCTACAGTCTTTCTTCATGTGACTCGTGGACTTCCCTTTGTCATCCTATGCCTGAGAATATATGAAGGAGGCTGGGAAGGCAAAGGGACGTTCAATTGTCATCACTGGCATCTTTTGATCATTGCACCATCATCAAATGCATTGGGATAATCATGACATGAACTTCTTCCATCACTGAGCCCATAATTGTCTCATGAAAGGAATAACAACTCCGTATGTAGAAAAAAGCCTAGTAGAACTTCAAGGAGTTTGAAACATTGGAAGGGGTTAAGTATGTGCTCACAGACTAACATCCCGCATTTCAAACCACATAAAGTTATACGTCCTACAAGCAAATGATGTGAGCATCTTTTTGCCTTTGGTGGATGCAGTAGTCTGTGCAGCCCTACCATCCTCTGAATCTTCTGCCTAAACCAACCCAGGAGAAGACCAAATACCAAATTATCAATACCCAAATCTAGATGGGTTGACTTCAGAGATGAAGAGTTGCCACTTTTAAGATGCTTCCAACAGACTGCTCAGACTTTTCTCTGCCTTTTAGGAGGGCTTCCCCTTATCTTTGAGTGAGGGACACAATAGAGACTCAACCCTCCTTTGTCATTTGATGGCAAGGCATCCGTTATGCTGCTCTATCTGTGAAGATTTGTGAATCTTAGTGAAACATGTTTCACGGTGTCTGCTTATCTTCTTTCCCTGACCCTTTTCCAACTCCAATGAGGAGCCATCTCTTCTTCAGTAAGGAGACTGCTTTTTACAAATTAGACAGTTTTGTAAACAAATGAATCTGAACAGGGCAACTGCTCACCATTCTGATGACATCTTTTAGCCACCTGACATGCAAGAAAGAACTATGGGATCTCCTAGCACATTAGGTTTAGGTTGCGAATGTTTGACTGGCATTTTAGTTTCATGATCAGCGACATATGCCATTGCTGGTCAGGTATAATAGATTGTTACCATAGTAGAGACCTTCGGGGGGAACCCAATCTCTTCCTTGTTACATCACTAAGTCTCTCAAGGGCTACATGGCTAGCTTCTTTTGCTATCATAAACCCTTGTGGACATCCTTCCCCGTTCATTCTTTATTTCCTTTTAAAATACCATACCCATAAGCTACCTATCTGGCCACAACCTACATTCCCTCTAAATCTCAGCTCAAAACTCTCCTTCCTTCCCTTCCTCCTGTGGTGCTCAGAGTCCAACCTTCACCTCCTCCATATTTCTACACCATTCTATCTAAACCACTGTCTGCCCACAGCACGGTTTCTTTTGATAGAGTGATTATCTATCCATCTTCCTGCTCCATCGCTCATCACCTACAGATTGTGAGACCCTAAAGTGTAGACCCTGTGTCTTATCCATTTTCATCATCCTGTAGTTCCTAGCACATTCAAGTGAGAACTCAAGAAATTGTTTTTGTAGCTATCAATGCTTCATGTTCCTGGCCCTATTTTCAGTTTGGGTTTTTAGGGGTTGGGCATCAGTGGCTTATGCCTATAATTCTAGCTATTCAGAAGGCTGAGATCTGAGGATCACAGTTCAAAGCCAGCTTGAGCAGAAAAGTCTGTGAGATTCTTATCTCCAATTAGCCACCAGAAAACAGGAATTGGAGCTGTGGCTCAAAGTGGTAGAGCACTAGCCTGGAGCAAAAAGAGCTCAGAGATGGCACCCCAGGCCATGAAATTAAGCCCCAGGACAGCACACATACACACACACACACACACACACACACACACACACACACACACACACACACACACACACACACACATACACACACATACTAGAAGGGCTTAGCTATTAAAAGGTGGAAAATAAAGCCACATAAAATCACAAGATAGACTCAAGGAGGAAATAATGAATGGGAATGTGTACAGGCAAAGACCACTAGCAGTATCTGTAAGTCATGTTCATGAGTGCATTTACTCATAATTGGACAGTGTTCCTCTTAAATCACAATTCCTGTTAACTCATTTCCATGTTAACAAGTGAGAAAGTTAATAGTCTAAGAATACATTTTATGTAGCAGCCAGTAAGTACCATGATGGCTTCAGTATTGCCATTTACATGGTGTGGATGACAATGACCTCGCTTACCTGAAGTAAGAATTGCTCATGGCTGCTTTTCAGGCTAGAATAGCTAACCTTAGAAAGGTAGACAAAGATCAAATAGATGGAAAACTTGTGCTGACTAAGTACTTTTCTGCCATCGTCAACAATATCACATATATTCCGAGAAAACAGCATATCTTATTCCTTAGGGGCCATGAAGAAAAAAAATGTTGATTGGTTGAGATTTTAATTTACTTATGATGATTAAGGCCAGAGGATTTATCTCAACATGCTTCGAAGTCCCTACCAAGGATTTATAATAATTGGTCAATCCCTTCATAGTATTATTTGAAGCACTTCAAGCCCTTGAAACAAATGTATGTACAAGCGAAGAGTATTAAAGAGTGACCAGAAATAGTGCTCTTGGGTGTAACTAATAAAGTTGTCATCATTTTCACAAAATAAAAACCTTTTAACCTGGAACACTGAGCTCAAGATCATTAAGCCCTGAGAAAAATGAAAGGTTGTCTATCCTCGTAATGGCCAAACAAGCAAACAGCTGATTCTTCTCTCTCTTTTGGCACCCATGGCTGAAATAAATAAGCAGCCCTTCTCCCTCACTGAACAGGCTGTCCCAGTTCTGCATCGGAGGGCAGATTTCAAAAGCTCTGCAGAGGGCTGCATGCCACAACCGGACAGTAAAACACTTAAGTCCTACAGACTCAGGCAGGGAGTCGAGGATTCTAAAGAGCTTTGGCATCTCTGGGTCTGCATGGGGTTCTGTGGGCAGTGCCTGCTGGGAAGAGGCAGGGTGGGGAAAGAATAACAGATACATCCTTGTAAACCCAGGGAGGTGAGGATTGAAGACTCAGCTTTTCTGGTCATCAAACTAATCTGAGTTGAATCCTTCCTCATTAAGCAGTGTTTCTTCTACCCCGAGGGAGAACACAGGAAGTGCGCTCTGGCTCTGCCGCCTGTGAAAGTTTATGGTGAAATCCTGGGGGAGGTTGCAAAGCACACAACCATGGCACATGGCATTCCACATGAGAAGTCTGTGCAGAATTAGGACATTCACTTTACCAAGCTCAGATTCTATTGTGTCAACATGTATGAATAGGATTTGCTTTGTCCCATTGATTTGTTTGCTCCTATTATTCAAGCAATGAGTATTATTGTAGGAAGAGTGGCTTATTGCTTATAAATTCATGGATAAAATATTTTCCTTATTTCAAGGAAATGTCATTCCAAGACTCCCTTCATGTAGGTTTGGTTTTATCTTGTGGTTGTTGTTTTTGTGCTGGTTCTAGGGCTTGAACCCAGGGCCTAGGCGCTATCTCTGAGCTTTTTTTTCTCAAGGCTAGCACTCTGCCACTTAAGCCACAATTCCATTTCCGGCTTTGTGGTAGTTGACTGGAGGTAAGAGTCTTACCAGCTTTCCTGTCTGGTCTGTCTTTGAACTGCGATCCTCAGATCTCAGCAGGTGCTCCCCTGAAAGTGAAGCCAACAGGATCTTTGTTGTGACTGAATCAAGGGCCCCAGGGCTCAGCAGCCTCAGGTTAACATTTCATGGTGTAGTTCAGAGAAGACCAACTCAGACAAGGCGCCTGTGATATTTCCCACCATTGCTGGAACTTGCAGATAGAGAAGAGCACACAAAAATACAACATAGACCTTGTATGTTGGACATTATTTTCTTACTTTCTTTATTTATATATTATTATTTATACAATATACAACATATAACATCTATGTTGTATTTGATATATGTAATGGATAATACATTATTACATATTTATATAGCATATATAATATGTATTAGACCTAATAGTATGTAATAATATGTAATATATTATAATGTGTAATATTGTATTTATAATATATGATATGCATTGTATAGAATATATAAGAAATATATACTATTCTGAATTATCTAATATATATTATATATACCATTTGATATATATCATATATGATACATTTTACATATTATACATATCACATAGCATAATATATATCATGTTGTGTATCATATATAATACTATAATATACCATAGAGTATATAATAATATATCATATATAGAATATAGGAAGGTGATATGTGTTATATATCATATATATTTATATGAAGACATATGCATAAACACAGAAATGCACAGCATATATATAACATAAAACAGATGATAGATTAGATAGATAGATGATTGATAGACAGATAGATAGACAGACAGA